TGATCAAATTGGTTTGGCATTGTACACTTAAATGGATTCACCAGTGAACCGGTGCCAAATTTGACGCTTGGGAATATGCGTTTTCCTCTTTGCCCAAACAGTGATACTCTAGGGTTCTACTACTCATAAGTTCGTAGCCTTTCTGGCTGTTACGGCTCATGGCTGCTCTTTTCAATTTGTTTGTTAGTGAATGAAATTTAACACGTTCCGGACCGCGTGACACTTATGGTGTGTCATACTTTTCCTCCCCGCGCCGTTTCATACGGTCCATTTGGCATCTTATTCATGCGCTGAAGTTATCAGAACACGTTTTTAGGCACAGAATACATGTATCTCTCAGGAAAGTGAAAGAAACATGAAATTGTTGACGGTTCGAAAATTAACAAAATTATGAGGAGATCCTCGAAGTCCAGAATGTGTAAAACTGAGCTCTAAAGTACCTCTTTCCATCATAGGTCCACATACACCACTTCTAGAAACATACGTCGTTCTGAAATTAGATTGAGTTTTGTGAGACCTTCCTTGTTAGTGGTTGCTCTGAAGCAAGTGTGAGTTGGCCCAGAGCGAAAAATTGTAAATATGGAAGTCGGTTGTATGGTTATTAGGAGAGTTGGTATATCGTACTAACTCTCAATCGAGATCTTAGAGGTGACTTTCACAATATCTTCTACCAGACAGTGGTCGATTGCTTTGCTGGAAAAATAATATGTGATGTAAAATGGTATTCTGAGAGAACGACCAAATAGACTGCTGATATGAGAAATACAGTCGATCAAAGGAGAAAATCTAGGAAATAGCAAGTGGGAAGAATTCTTAATAAAAACATTTCAGAAAGGCAGGAATCTGTCATTGAAACGCTGAAAAAATGCTCAAAAGGTTGAGCTGACGAATACAGGAGGGGTGTGGCTCGGATCTTGAGCTTCTTAATATTTAGCCACTGTTCGCATCAAGTCACCGATTTTCCCAATTAATGAGTAAATCTGAATGTTGTAATGTTGAAATGTTGTAGCACATAGATTTGTAAGATCTTTGAAATGTCCGGTGACGAATTCTTTTTTCATGAAAGCAGCATAAAACTGAACAGCAGTGACTGTGTAGCGAGAAATGTATTGCGTTTCTTTAGATTGATCTAGGCATATTAGTGCTCGATATTAGCTGTAGCAGGCAGAGGCGGTCTACTGGCGAGTAGCACGGGTACTATGTGCACGGTCTGAGGATCAAATCCCAGATCGACTCTGGTCAGGCCTTCTTCCTCTGGGGACGGTAAATTGGTACCAGATTCGTCTGGGAGGATAAAACACTGACTTGTACATCGGCTGGCCCCGCAAGTCATTGTATAGGCCACATCGCATTCAATAAGCCACTACGATTCTGAATGGAAGTAGAACGCGTAACCGCATTCCGCAAAGGGATTGATCAGCGGCAGATACTTTATTCTTTTCTATTATTTGTGGACCATTGACGGCTTATCGCACTCATTCCGTTCTACTTAATAGTTTTTAGGAAGTTACCGCTGTGATCTGCACGTTCTTTGTAGTAGCCGTCACCCATGATGATGCCGTATTATAAAAAGAAAAGAATAAGTGATTGTAGGAATTACGGCACAAACGAAGATATTCTGGTTGCATCCTGTATTTCATAAAAACAGTGGACGATGGCGGAGGTACATAGCTTAATGGCCTCGGCGTCCTATGATCAGACGGTGCGAATCTGGGACGTTGGTTCAGGAAGGCATGTAACGACAATTCCTCATTCTGATTCTCAGGTACGTTTGAAATCAAATAATTTCTTTTCTTCGGTGAGGATTTGTGCATGGACATGCGCTTTTACTGTCACCTTCTCTTGACGCTATTCTCGTTTCTGGATCGTTTTCGCATTTTATCATTCATTCCCGTTTACAATTTAGTTTTATTTTTTTCAATCTGATCTAATCATTTTTTGTGTTTTTTCCCTTAGAAATAGGAATTTAAAAAGTCCAAGAGTAAGCTAACGCCGCGCAGAGAACGTGCTTCGACGTGTATCTACTCGTTATGAGAAACACTACATTTATCTGCGATTGAACAACGGAATAACTCGACCAGAAATTCATAATATGTATGAACGACTAAATACCAGGTAAATTCAATACCAAACGAGAAACGAAATATACCAATCAAAGAACACGTCAAAAGGACATACAAGGGTATGCATAAGAGTGCTAAAGAGGAGGTAACGGCTTCAAAAGAGTAGACACGTCGAACTGCCGTAGAACGGAGCAGGGCCTCGCCCTGGGCTGAGGGACCATGCCGGCCTTCGGTCCGTCGTCCAGTCGACTCCTCGCTTGCCTCTTCCGCCGCTTCCTCACGCCTCCTGAAAACATTCAGATGAGTCATGGCTTCGTCACCCTTACTCGCCGCCGCCATGAGGCGCGGCTTACACCTCCCCCCTTTACCGAAAGTCCGACCCGGACTTTTCAATGTAGAAAAAAGGAACGGACTTACCGGAACAGGCTAGTGAGGGGGATTTAAGTAACGATTGACATCCTTGAAGGGGACCACGGCGTTCAGCGAGTCGGCCCATTCCAAAACTCTGCTCCATGTCGGGATGCGCCGAAGGGAGTCGGCGTGGCCAAAGATGAATTGGCCGTGCCGACATCTGGACACCGCCACGTTTAGTCGGCGGTAATCGTCGAGGAAGTCCGCCGTCTCTGAAGTAAATCCTGTTCTAGTAGTAAGGATTATAACTACCTCTTTCTCTCGGCCCTGGACGGAATCCACTGTTGTCAGCTCCACATTCAGAGTGTTCAGCTCGTCCTTCATTTGTCGATACTGTTCCCTGTAAAACGAGATTACACAAATAGAGGCAGCTGGGATTCCTTTGAACAATAGCTGCCTTATGAGGTACGTGCAGAGGCGGGCTTCGGTCGTGTTGAAGTGGGACTTGCTAGGAGCCTGCATGGAGTCCCCGATGGTATCAATGAAGAGAAACGGGACCCCTCTGGTGGGAAAATTCATCACTGCCAGCAGCATCTGCCGGGATGCTGCTGGTGTGCCGCTTACGAGCGCCCCGTTGTAGGCCACGCGATTTGGCAGTTGAATAAGGGCGGGGTGCGAGCGGAAAGTGGTCACCAGGGGTGCCACGGGGACTGCAGGAGACACCAGAAGAAGGCTCATGACGCTACGAGCCCCATGAAGCGCGGGATTGGAGCCGTGTGGGCACTTGGTATGCGGGGCCAACTGGTGCACATCTCCAATGTAGACGTGCCGTGCGTCGCTCAGGCGACCCACGATGGTGAGGAGCACCGGCTCCGGTATCTGCGACGCCTCATCGCCGATCACCACTCCAAATTGCTCGACATAAGGACCGAAAATTCCTACGCCGCTGGTGGAGTTGAGGAGGGAAGACGTGGTCATACAAATGACCGATGGTCGCCGAACCGTGAACATGATCCTCACCATGCGTTTCAGTGTTTGCGAGACATACTGCTCCGCAATGGTGTACTCTTCCTTGTCCCGATCAGACATGGTCGGCACGCGGTCGGGGTTCTCGATGTAGTCCTCAAGCAGTTGTCTGTAGCGCTTGAACTTAGCGCAGACCCGACGCTCACCTTCGTCCAGCCGGTCCGCGAAGTCTTCTCCGAGCCTCTTCAGGATCTTGTTGAGGTCCACCGGGGTTGGGCCACGGTTGTCCGCCGCAGCAGTGTCTGAAATGTGACGCACTACCTTGAGGCGGGGGAAGTCGTCCAGAGAGAGTAACGTCTCTGCGAATTGCGCCACAGGCCGCGTTGGTGGAGGTTGTTACGATGACGGTGCTGCCCGGCTTTGCTGTTAGAGCTGCAATCAGCGACCCGACCAGCGTCTTACCCGTGCCGAAAGCAGCCTGGAGGGCGACTATGGGAAGGTTACCCGTACCGACGCGGACGGCGTCTTTTTGGTCCCGGGTCAGGGTAATTCTACGGCCACTGACTCGGAAGGATCTGTCCGTGTCAGACGGGGGAGGGAGATCTCTTAGGTACCGTTCATCACTTGTGCCGAACTGCATATTCGCGAAGACGATATCTATTATTCGGCTGCCGACGGTGTCTGGAGAAAGGTCTGAGAGCATGAGTTCCCGGGAGACGATCTCGTAAACCGGGTTGGCGGCAGCAGTGCTCTTGCTTAGCCTCACGCAAATGTCGACCACTCTAATTTCGCCTACGTTGCGACCGAGGTCATGCATAGCCCTAGTGAGAGGCTGCTGTGACCAGGGGAAGGCTTGGACTACGACGTGCAGCGTGTGTTGGGTGGGATGGGTGTCCACGCGAGCGACCTTAACGCGGATGAGGCTGTCCGAACCTGCAACCCATAAAACGACGTGACGACCTGAAGTCCATCCTGCCTCAGAAGACATGTCCGTGAGGGTGAACTGAAGCCGCATAGGGAACCATGTTGGGGTTGTCTCCCTGGCCACGACCCAGTGAGAACGTCGGTCATCCTCGGCTGAGTTGACGGCAGCCAGGGCTGAACACGCTGCGTTGCAGATCTTCGCCAGCTTGATTTTGGAAGCATCGGGATCGGCATGATAGTTATCGAAGCGTCCTAGACGATCCGCGAACCACGCCACTTCTGGTGCGGTGATCTTGAAAACCGCAAGGGGTAGCATACCTTCTTCCGGATGCATCGGCAGAAACTGACGGACGACGTTCGCTAGCTCCACTTCCGCTTCGACGGAGGCCGGCGGTTCAGAAAACCGCATAGCAGATGAAACGTTCACACGCGCTTTAGCCGAGACGATTTCATAAACCGTGAGTTCCCGGAGGGGGAAATCACAGATACTGGGGGTGAGGGTGACCGCTTCTGGGCACCCCTCGAACGCTGCGCGGGCCGACATTACCCTTTCGTACCGGGAGTTGAGCGACAGGATGATGCCGTAGACGGGAGTGCGATGGTCCCTGGGGGGTACCAATGCGAAGTGGGACACCCGGAAAAAGAACGCCAGTGTTGACTCCAGTGCCGTAGTGCGCGGTACGCGGGCTTGCGTCAATGTGGTCTGGGGCGAGCGTAGGGCCTGACGAGTAGGTTTCACGTTGTATACCCAAACGAAGTCCTTGACGGAGACCAGCGCTTTGTTGAAACCGCGACCGCCCTCGAGGATCTCGACGGCGAACTGGTCCATGGTAATGCAGTGAAGCTCGCGACGGTCAGGACCGACGGTGAAAAAGTCCTTCGCCTCCAGAATTACGCCTGTACCCCAGCCGGTGGAGATGACCTGGTAGAGTACTGGTCGCACACCCTCCCTTATGGGGGGAATGGATGTATAGGGGTGTCTGACGGTCGAAGTGGGCACCAGGTCGCTAACGTCGGTCTCTACATAGGCGTCGTTCAGCAGGTCGTCGATCACCTGCTGAGATCGCGCGCGGAAGGCCACGGCGTCCTCAAGGTGCTGCAGCTCAATCACAGGAATCTCGACGGGTGGTTGATCTGCACGGAGTGGTACCTGTGGGAAGAGGGACCTGTTGAAAGAAAGAGACAGGTATCCCGAGTCCGGCAAGTGGCGATAAATAGAGGTGGGCAATGCGGTAGTAGCCGGAGGAGGATTATGCCTAAGCATGCGAATGGGGCGCGGGTTCACGAAATGCGCCCACGGGTGGTGGTCGATGAGATAGTGGGTGAAGTGCTTAGGTGTCACCTCAGGTAGGTGGCCCGGGATAGATCGCGGGAGCGGATTCGAAGCCGTTGGCTGAGGGCGCTTAGTGCCGCGATCGCGGGATGGGCCAGAGCTGGAAGTGGCGGCTCCTCGGGCCGACACTCGGGGATCGGATCGGGAGGAGGAAGGACGAGACGCCTCTGGTCTCGACGAGCGTCCCCGAGCAGCGCCGCGCGTGGGGGCTTTTGCACTACCTCTCGCTGGAGCTGGGGCTGGAGCTGGTGCCCGGCTGGCAACAGGGGCCTGGCGCCGACCAGACGCAGAACGTCGAGCCTTCGCCGGTGGGGCCGAGGGCAAAGGAGCAGCCGAGGGCTGCGCTTCCCTGGGAGCAAGGTCCTCCACCGCTAGGTTTTCCATGGACAGGGTCATATGGGCCATGCCCTGCTCGGTGACGTCGCCACCCGCCAATTCCACTGGTGGGGACGGAGGTGTTACTGCGGCTGACAGCGGGGTCGTTGGGGAAGCAGCGTCGGCTGCCGCAGAGGCAGCAGATGTACTAGGTGCAGGAGTGCTCGGTCTGCACTGGTCACCGTCCGTAGCACCTGAAATAAGGAGAACCGGCGCACTGGGTTCGGTGAGGCCTACCGACGGATCGGTAGGGACGTCTTCTGAGGTGTCCATAGGGGACACTTCATCTTCTGGAACTGAAAGAACTACCTGTGAGGATTCAGCCGCAACGCGACTCGGGTTAACATCAGAAACATCAACCGCTCTAGGCGGAGTATACCTGACTGATTGGTCCGGAGGAGCATTCGACTCCGGTGGAGGGGAATGACCATCCATAGCAGCGAAGAGCACACGAGAGCACGATGTCGGGTTTACTCAAGTTTTCTGAAATATTCAAATTATGGACGGGGACTGAGGTGGGGTGTGCCCCCAAATAAGACGTACTGAACGCGAAGCTCGAACATAAAAATGCGTAATGAGGGTACCGCGAAAACAAGAATGATGGTAACCACATAATGCATATAATAGGGGAATGTCAATGCGAAAAAAAAATGAGGAGTGTGGGATGGAAGGAAAATTCAAGAATGAAGAGAAATGCTGGCGACGATGATGCTTAAATCATGCTGCGATCAACCGAGACCACAGAATCTCGCCTTGATCGGAATAATGGTGACAGACGAGCAGCCACCATTTGGATGTAAATATCTTTGAATTGTGACCGACCGGTCAGACGGATGTGCGGCGCGACCTGAAACGAGTATTATAAGAATGGGTCGATGAAGCAGTTTGGGGTGAGGGCGGCCTAACTACACTATGTTGATAACCAACCACGGTTTGGTCTGTCGCTGCAGCCGCTGTCAACGCCGCTTGCTCTAACTCCGGGAGCCAGGGAGAAGTAAAGACAGGACCTGACAATAGGTGGCACCTTTTGACCTGATTCATATGAACCTTTTTTGGTGGTGATTGCGGTGCGGAAACACTGACGATAGTCAGGTGAGGGGGGTCAACTTGAATAACCCGAAACTGGCCCAGCCATGGGTAGCAGAGCTTTTGTGACAGTCCCACCGTAGGAGCGAGGTCGCGAAGGTAGACCCGATCGCCGACCTTAACAGAAAGAGGGTCTAAGTGGGTGTGATCATACTGACGCTTGTATTTTTCCCGTTGGCGGGCATTGTAGCGAGCAGCGACACGCCAAGCCGCGTGGAGAGTAGAGATCAGGTTTTGGACGTAGAGCCCCGAGTCCTCGAAGGAGGGATAATGTTGCTCCCGATCGTGCTTAATGAGGAGGTCGATGTTGAACACTGGGTCACGCCCAAACATAAGAAAGAAAGGAGTGTTATCGGTACTGGTATGGATGGACGTGTTATACATAAATGAACAAGCCGTAACATACTTGTCCCAATCCAGCTGATTTTCGCTTACGTACGTCCTCAGCATGGGATGAAAGGTGGCGAAAACTCGCTCACATGCCCCGTTGCCCTCATGATGATATGGAGTGCAAAAATACCTGTGAATGCGAAGAAGCCGTCCAATTTCTGTCATAACCTCGCCTGTGAAGTAGGACGCATTGTCTGAAACAAGTTCTGTCATAACACCAAACTTCAATATACATTCTGAAACGATAGCATGCGCCACCGTGATTGCGGTACAGTCTGGAAGTGGCGCTGCAATGACATACTTGGAAAAATGGTCAATCATGGCTATAATGTACTTGTTACCCATTTCGGAGGTATGGAGGGGGCCGGTGAGGTCGACATAAACTTTGTCGAAGATAGCCCCACTTACCACGGGAATGAGAGGTTCTTGGTTCTTCTGGTTTGGACGTTTGCGCTGGCACGCTTCACAGGCGCGCACTAGGGTGAAAATGTCCTCTGTCATATGCGGCCAGAAATACTTACGAGAGATTTTAGCGAGTGTTTTGCGCCAGTTGAAATGACCGCCTGATGTTGGGCTGGTATGGAGAGCCAGAAAAACCGGCTCTTTGAGTTTGTCGGGAACAACCAGCCGTTCAAACCGGAAGGTATCAGGTGAGGTCTGGTTGGCGGTATAATAGAGACAACCGTTCTTCTTCACCACACACTGTTCCGCAATAGGGAGCCATTGCATCTTCTGATCCTCACTCAAATCGTCGGGAAATCGCTTGGTCTCGAGAAATGTGAGTATTGCAGAGCAGAACTGGTCCTGGTGCTGTTCTTGGAGTGCATCATAAGGTCGGATAGCAAGGGGTGGACCGAGGCATAGAAGTGTCGGAAGGACTGAATATGCGGCCGGCGATATCGAGTTTATGCTAACCGGAAACTCAATCATGTCTTCTGCTTCTGGAGTGCCGTCCTCGAATTTTGACTTGGGGTCCACCATCCGGGACAGGGCATCCGCGACCACATTGGAAGAGCCCTTGAGGTACTTTATGGTAACATCGTAGCTCTGCAGCTCGACAACCCAGCGAGCTAGATTATCATGAGATTTATTGTGGTTTAGTAGGAAGGCAAGTGGGCGGTGATCCGAAAAAACAGTAGTATGGTTGCCGTAAATTGTAGTCCGGAAAAACCTCAACGCACTTATAATTGCAAAAAGCTCGATATGGGTAGGGCTCCATTTTTGTTGTGAGCCAGAGAGGGCCTTGCTGAAATAGCCCACGGCTGCAAGCTGACGATTATCGTCGGCACTATGTTGGAAAAGGGCGGCACCCACCGCCGCCTGACTGCCGTCCGTGTGCAGGAAAAATTCCTTGTCCTGGGGGAAGATCAAGCATGGCTTCGTAATGAGAAGGAGCTTGAGGCGTTGGAACGCTTCTTCCTGCTCGGGTCCCCACGCGAATTTAGCTTCATTTTCGAGAAGGCTGTATAGTGGGGAGGCAATCAGGGCAAAATTGGGGATGAATTTGCGAAAGAAGTTGGCCATACCCACGAATCCCTTGACCTCCTTGATTGATGCAGGGGTGGGGAAGGCCTGGATGGCCCGAATATTCCGGTCCGCCGGTCTGTAGGTAGCACCAGAAATCTCATGCCCCAAAAAGTTGATGTGCGAGCGTGCGATTTCGGTCAGTTTTTTACCTGATACCTTAATATTGTAGAGGCGGAATCTGTAAAGAACCTTGCGCAAGGATTCTAGATGGCTGGAAAAATCCTTGTCGAAAACCACAATGTCGTCAAGGTATGCCAGACAGTTTCCCTCCAGACCGGCGAGTATGCGCGCCATTGCCCTGGAGAAGTAAGCACCCGCGTTCTTTAATCCGAAGGGGAGGTAAACGAATTGATAAACACCTCTATGAGTTGCCCAGCCACATTTCTGCTGACTTTCCGGTGACAGCAAAAGCTGCATATATCCCGACGCTAGGTCAAATGTAGTATATAATTTATGACCTGATATTTTCGCGAGAATGTCCTCGATTCGCGGCAACGGGTAATGGTCTGGGATGGTGATATCGTTAAGTGGGCGAAAGTCTAAGCAAACGCGCAGTGACCCATCCCTCTTCTTCACTAAAACGGTGTTATGAATCCACGGAGTATCGCTTTCAACGATACGTCCCGCCCGGAGCAGCTTGTTTATGTGCTCGTCGAGTTCCTTCTGAAACTTCACTGGAATTCGAGGAGGGCGGAAGCGCGAGGGGGGAATTTCCGAGGTGGTTTTAATGACGATTTCGGAGTCTTCGTAGGAGCCGAGGTCGTAAGAACCTGAGGAAATTCTGTCCCTGTATTCGTAAAAGAGCTGACGTAACTGTTCCCGTTCTTCCTCAGAGACCTCTGCATGCGACAAATCAATAGTGAAATCTGTCTGAGAAGGTTCAGGGCGGTCCGCCCTGTTAGAGAGAAGACTCGCATGGGGAGCGGCGCTAGGAGCGACACGGGGCCATAGAGAGAAAATCCGTATCACTACCGTAGAGCGGCACAGCGGAGGATATACGCTGTCCTTTATATAGCGTCACGGGGAGCGAAGTGGGGTTTCCAATCAGAAGAGAGGTGTTGCCGGGGTTGACGACTGCCGGAGTGACCATGATGGCGTTCTCTGTGAGATCTTCGCTTTGCGTTACCAAGAGTGGGGTCTGGTGATCGCTTTCTGTGCAGCAACGGACGAAGGCTTCGGCAGACGCTGGGAGCACTGTTGTCTGAGAAACCCTGACTGGGATCGACTGGATCACGGCGTCACCTGGGGAAGCGGAGAGAATCTTTACCTGTTGGTCCGCTACAGAAAAGGTTCGAGTGCTGTAGTCGATTGACCAGGGAGGGAGCCTACTTAGCAGGTCATTGCCCAGAATTATGTGGTAAGTCCCGGTCCCTTCGGGAATGCAATCCGATTCTGAGAAGTAAACAGGGTGCTCGAACGAAAGAGATCCAATCTCGAAAGAGAGTGAAGCACAACCGAGGAGATGGACCGGCACCCCTGCCATGCCTACGGCAGTTGTTATGTCACTCTCGATTACGTTGAAGACTCCAAATAGAGGTGCCGTGGCAGCAGAGGTGATCGTTATGGAGGCGCCGGTGTCCACTAAGGCGAGCACGCTTATATGGTTTACTCGGATTGGGATCTGGGTCACAAAGAAGCGGCCTTGTCTAGAAAGGTAGAGGACGTTCACAGGGCTCATCTTCGCTCGCGGAGGCCAGGAGGACGTGGAATCAATTGCCAGCTGGGCCAGCTCCACGTCGGCCTGACCTAAGCTTTGAATTGCACTGATCCGGGGGATGGTCAGCCTCGGCAAGGTGGCCGCGGGTCCAACCGCTGGAACAGTACATGGCGTACTGATCTGCGTGTGGAAGAAGGGCAACCGCCCCTGGGAATGGAGCTGCGAGTAGATGTCGAGGATGGTTTTAACGACAGCCAACGATACTATGGCACAGCATACAGCTACCCATATGTCGAAGATGGTCCATGATCCCAAGAAGAAGGACAAAATCGTGGATGGCAACGAAGAAGAAGAGGTCGAAGAGGTTACGTAGTCGTCATCATGTCGCGGTGTAGCCAAGCGAAGAAAGTGGTCCGGTGTAGCTGAAGACCATAGCTCTTGCCACTGATGGTCCTGGACCAACTCGCTGAGATTGGTCAGGATCAAGTTGTGGAAAATAGTGAGCGGAAGGGCCAGGGCAGAGGCGTTGATCGTATCTGGCATCCCCACGTACTGCACACTGGACTCGGGCACCACCAGGGTTTTCCCAGTAAATGCGTTGAATTGAGATAACCGTCGCCATGCGAAAAGTAAATGGGGGCCACAGTAGCACACGGCACCGACGAAGCCTCTTGCGATATTACCCGTGTTGAGGGGTCGATGAAAGACTCAACAGTAGACCCGCTGGGCAGGGAGATCTCAATACGTGGTTTAGTGAAACACGTCCCATTAAATG